GGGAGCCCGATGCGGGACTTGATCCAGGGACTCCAGGATCATGACCTGAGCCGAAGGCAGTCGCTCAACTGACTGAGCCACCCAGGCACCCCTATAGCAAAGGTTCTTAATCCGATAACACATTAGAATCATTTGGGGCATGCTGAAAAATCACAAAGGACCTACCACAAACCGATCAGGTTAGAAAAAATAAAATGTGGCTTACAGCGAATAAAGGCCTGGAGTGAGGTACTGACCCCAACAGTAGAGGATAGTACTGTTGTCCTCCCTGGGGGGGCAGCCGACAGCCACAAGGCAGAGGGGGGACAGTGCTGGGCGGCCTATCAGGACCTCCAGATACGCCAGGCTGCAAATCCAGAGACGTGTGTGCCTTTAGCACAAGGTCACATGGGACAGTCTGATGACAAAAGATAGACATTCTCACCCAAAAGTCAGAAGGCAGAGCACGTAGGAGCAAAGACATCTCTGCTCCGCATGCTGCTGACTGCTAGCTAGCTTGTTCCAAACTCTACCACGTCCCTGCAGCCACCCCAGTGAGTGAGGCTCTGCTATCATCTCCAAGCTGGTTTTGCATCCCCAGGACGTGATGGGACATGGACTGACATCCCTTCCTCTGAAGGCAGGTCAGGGGGACCTGGCTGCTAGGACACGCAGCCCAAGCCTGAGGGAAGGGGAAGGAGGCGGTGAACACCTACAGATCCACGTCAGGATTGTTAATGGCTGGCAGACATCCCCAGGCCTCAGACAAACGACTTACTGGAGAGGCTTCTGGCCTTCCCTAAGAAGGTTTTGGACCTGTTCCTAAAGAAAAATGGGTTGGACGCTGAAAAGAGCACCTTCTGGAACATTAAGGTTGGAATTCAATTTGTGACATCCACTGCCAGTGTCAAAGCAATGACACCAACATTCCTTAAACACTTCTGCAGCATCACCACTAATCAAAGTGTAATTAGGGGGTGCCTGGGTGGCTCGGTTGGGCAACTGTCTTTGGCTCAGGTCATGGTCCTGGAGTCCCCGGATCGAGTCCCACATCAGGCTCCCTGCTTGGCAGGGAGTCTGCTTCTCCCTCTGACCCTCCCCCCTCTCATGCTCTCTCTCTCTCTCTCATTCTCTTTCTCACATAAATAAATAAAATCTTAAAAAAAACCAAAAAACAAAAAAAAAACAAAGTGTAATTAGGATCTGGACGAGCCAACCTTTTCCTGCTTCAGAAGATGATGGCGTGGCTTTAAACAGGCACCAGACAAAACAAACCAATGCCGAAATCCTCCCCTGCCGTGGTTTGTCTTTTCCCCCAGTCCGGATTTTTAAACTGCTAATTTTATAAGGCTAGCCTTAACATCTGAGTACATTTCCAATCAACCCCTAAATGTGTAGCACCCAAACCATTATCTTGTATGTAAATACTCATTAAACATTTGAGTAAATGATTTAAAATAAACAAGCTAAGCACATGTACTGTTTTGTATCACTTAATCTTCAAATATAACAAATCTCTCTATTCCAAAATGTCAACGAAATAATTCAAACTCTAAAACCACAGCTGAGAGATCCCAACTCCAAAGACACTTTAATAGAACACTTGGTGGTGAGAGGCAGAGGGCAGCAGCAGAGCCTGTCTCGTTTGACACAATCACCCCAGGACCCAGCTGATAAATGCCAGGTGCTCAGTTAAATACCTGTGAAATCAAATCAAATCTGAAAGAATAAGAACATACCATCCTCTGGTCTGGTCAATGCCTTCGGCAATGAAGTCTGCAGGAAATGCATCATCAAACTCCCTCTTGTTTTCAAACGGATAATGAATCTGAGCATAGGGCATGCTGCCGCTCTCGAACCAACAGTCAAACACTTCAGAGACGCGACGCAACACTCCCTTCCCACAGCGGGAAGGGATGGTCAGATGGTCAATGCTAAGAAACGAAGCAAAGCCACTTCTATTAATTTTAACCACGAAAGAACTTGCAGTTTAATTGCCAAGAGGAAACAATGCTCTGACGAGATTTCATAAGCATCTGCAAAGAGAAATACTGGCAGTTATCACAGGTTTTCAGAGGCACCGGGAAGGCTCAATCCGGGGGATTTATACCAAAGTTGCCCTACATCCAACTCAAGGACAGAGGCCACCCTTCCTCAACATGACATGAGTCATCAACACTGTAACTCAGTAAACCAGTATTTGATTTCTACACGTAGCTCCGTAATCTGCTCCAGAGACCACGTCAATGCTCTCTGACAGTACGGAAGTGAATCGAACATTCAGAAACTGACCTCTCTCTGTGGAGATCAGAGATCTTTGCTCCCGACAGTTCTTCGAGTTCTGCCATCGATCCAATGCATACCACCTGTCAAGGCAAAGTTAAAAAACAAGAGAACCTCAGAGCCAGAGATCACAGAGCTTTATTCACACAGCATTCACACTTAGTTTTAGAAACCTCTGACCTTCAGGACAGTTGTCACTAGCGTGGCTTACACTCACGAAAGACTGCAGGTCACTGAAGAGGTGAGCGGGCTCCACTACTCGGCCACCTACCCCCGTCTCAGGAGTCCCTACGCGGAGAGGACCTAACAGCGTCATCTCCACACGCACCTGCTGAGGGCTTACGAGGTCCAAATCTCTGCCCAGTATAACCAGCGTAAGTGAAACGCCTAGACTGTGACTCTGAGGCATCTCAGTTTCTTCCTGACACCTGAATTTGGCTCCTTAATCTGGAATCTTTCCAAGTCAAAGCTAGAACTAAATTACCAGATCCAATCAATGAGATCACAAGACGTCACTTAGGGTTACGTCCAGGCAAGGAGGCTTCCCTCAGCTCAGCTGCGGCCCTGACAGGGTCCACACGGTGGGGCAGCCCCAGCAGGAGCTGCTGCGGGTTCTTGCCCGGGGCGTCAGCTACCTAGGGAACACCACCTTCTCAGCCCTTCCAGTCCAGTCTTGGGAGGTCTGACTCCGCTCCTTCACTGCCGTCTCTCAGGTCCCTGTGCTCTAACAGTCTCTGTGCTGGACAGAAGCCGCCATTGCGGGTACATCTATAGACCCGTCACGTATTTACACACACAATCACTTGATTTTATATATTCAAGGTTGGCAATGCTTTTGGTAATGTTTTTTAAGCCTTCCTTTTTAACCGCCATGAGGGGGCTTTCACGTGCTGTAACTCGGTGCAGGTCTGGACTTTAAGACTGATCATCAGTTACTCACAAGGACAGAAAAAGGGGTGAGCAACAGAAGAAAAACAATTCAATTCAACAGAAGAAAAACAATTCAATTTCCTGAGAAAAATACACATTTCTTCTTTACTTTTACACAGAGGGAGATTTAAAAAATCACATTTAATAAAACTAAAGTAAAAATAAATTTAAAAAACCTCCCAAATTCTTATTTATGTGATTCTAGGAAGGAATAAACAGAAACAGATGAAATAAAAAAAGGGGCAAAGAAAAAAGAAACTACATCCAGATGTACAAATGAAGTGCTTCAGCAAAAATCAACATGAGAATGCATGGCCCATCTCACCTCCTCGAAGTCATCGCTGACCCACAGGGGGATGGGGGTGCCCCAGTATCTGTTTCTGGAAACTGCCCAGTCACGTGCATCTTTCAGCCAATTTCCAAATCGCTTCTCTCGCACAAACTCTGGGACCCTGCAATAAACAGGTCAGACAGCCAATGCCTGAGAACATTAGTAAGCAAATTTGTAAATTAGATCTTATAAACCTTTGTATACGCTCTGTGGACCTACTGCCCTAGAGATGCTGCGCTCACTCCCAGGAGGACGTCTTCTGTGTGGACAGCACAGAAAACTCACGGAGCTCCATCTATTGTGAATTCATCCCAGGAGATGCTCTGTGACTGGAACAACCCTGCTAGGGGACAGCTGCAGCTCTCGACCAGACCTAGTCTTCGGGGCGTCCACACAATACTGCTTCTACGGACACTCATTAGTATGGGCTCCCAGACCCTACAAAACAGGCTGGGCTACAGGTGGCTGGTTGGTAGCTGCCTCCTGAGGCTCACGGGCAGGCTCCTGCCATTGCACTCTAGGCTCCAACAATGAGGTAATTCCTTAGAATGCAGCTTCTCACCTAAACGCCTTGGCCTGTGCCATCCCTCCACTATGATAACCTTCACCTTATAGCCTCCCCTCTCTCCCCTCCCCTTCCCCCAAAGCTTCGAGTGCCCAGGACTAGTCAAATGGCTCCTTATCCTCTGAGGTTCAGCTCTGCAGGAAATCTACCTAAGCAGCAGGCTGAGTTACAGCACCCCCAGCCCCACACATCCTGTTCTCTCAGGCACCCCAGTTGAGCCCTGTATTACAAACATCAGTTTATAGGCCTGCACTCTCAACGAGGCCACAGCCTAATAGTTCACATCCAGCACTTCACACTATAGGGCAACTGAAGAGCTTCATAGGAATAAAAATGAAAAACTGCTTTTTCTTGAGAAGTCAGGGTCAGTTTGCTAGAAAGTACAAAAAGCTTGTTCATGGGGCTTCTTGGTAGCTCAGTCGGTTGAGTGTCAGCTCAGGTCATAATCTCAGGGTCATGAGATTGAGCCCCACGTTGGGCTCCATGCTCAGTGTGGAGTCTGGTTAAGGTTTTTTTCTCTCCTTCTCCCTCTGCTCCTCCCCACCCCCTGCTCGTGCATGCGCTCTCCCTATCAAAAAAAAAAAAAAAAAAGCGATAGTTCATAGTAGTTCCTGATCTCTTCCTTTTACTGCCCTGAGATTCTCCTCATTCTTCCAAAATGAAATGCAGTTTTTAAGTCAGGTTCGATTCTTATAGAAGTAAGAAACCGTGATCACCCTCAGAACTCTCAGTGAAAAACAGTCTTCTGTAATATGCAGATTCAGCCTTACTTCATTCAGCCCTACAGGTTGGAGTAACACCTCCCTGCGGGTCACATACTAGCTGAGAGCAAGGCTTCTGTCCCAGTAGCACTCATCGGCACGCATCAAGAGCAGGAAGCACAAATGGCTTCTGTAGGTATATTCAAAAATAAACATTTACCCTGAAAATGACTATTTAAGGCTAACAGAAAGGCAAAATGCTCCCTCCATATGCCTTATCATAGGAAGGATGCTACTTCTTATAAAACTATTTAAATTATTCTGTGGTCCTGAAAACATAGACTCAAAGAGAGCTACAGAATTCTTACAATCTGGGAGAAGTGTGAGCACGTGATACAGGACAGTGTGAAGATACACAGCTCACTGCTCACCAGTAACACAGGTCGTTGTTCTTCAGGAGCTGGTCCACCATGTGCTCCACCCGCACGAACCAGCTGGGCACGGCTTTGTAAATCAGGGGAGTGTCTGACCTGGGGAAGCAAAAATGCAGCACATGGCTCGTCAGACTGAGGTACGCAGGCACCCACGGTGAGACCAACCTTTAGTTTCTTACTGACATCACCCCCATCGATTTGGCCTTCTGCTAACACTCTTTTTTTTTTGCAAACACTAATGCCTACGTCCTTGGTACTGGTCATCTCCCTCCACAACACCAAGAAGGCAAAAGCTTTAAAGAACAAGAAAGAAAATATGGTTCTGCTGGTATGTGATAGCTGTCTAAGAAATGACGTCAACTTCAGCAAAGAGGCAATGTGGGAACAAACTTGATGGCACCGAGCATTCCAATTCCACGCACATCTTCACAGCACGATCTTGTATTCTAACTTGTGTCACGTTCTATCTCTTGCCAAGTTCCACTGGGAAATTTTAGACGTATGTCTCATTCTAAAGAATTGTGGCCCCAACACAAAACATCTGTACATGTCGATACTTCCCAGACAACTGCTGAGGAAACCAGGAACTAACACTCATGGAATTCAAGAGGGCAGTTTCCCCACACTAATCATAAAGCATACAAATGAGAGGGGAACTGCAGACGGCAGAATGGACACACACGCTACGTGTCCCCCACAGGCTAGAAGCTCGAGCTGTAAGTCTTCGCTTTCTCTCACCTCCAGCAGAAGGGGTAACTGTGAGTGAAGGTGCTGGACACAAGAAGTCGGCCTTTTTCCTTCAGGGTCCTGATGATGTTTTTGTCAGCATCCTGTTTAAAAAATAAAAATCTAGCCATTAAAATATCCTGCAATACTTAGTAACACAAGAGAACTACGTATATCACTGCAATCTGATATTTTGATAACTCTATACCATGAATAAAAGGCAAAAATAACACATGTATTATAAAAACACTCAGTCCACATTTGAGACACAGTCAAACTTTAGGTATCTTATTAAGCACTTCCATACCATGTGAGGCAGTGAAGTCTTTCACCAGCAATGATGGCCCCAAAGCCTCAGAGCTGCTTCAGGAGTTACCAGTCAGAGCCCAGTCTCACTGATTCCTGCCTGTGAAACTACAGCTTCCGCTGAAGATACTAGACCCTTAGAATGTGGCTGATAATATCTATCTTTTCTGGTTTTATGTGCTGAAACAAAACAAAACAAAACCAACTTCCTGGAAAAAAAATCCAGATATGGAAGCTATTTAATAAAAAGCTGATTAAAGAAAGAAGTATGATGAAACCCACACCTTTCTCTGTCACAGAGACACAGACCTTCACATACTGTCCCGTGAAATCTGTCACTTCTGCCGTGAAACAGCCTGAAGCATCCACAGGGCAAACAGGAGAAGAGTCTTTCTGAATGATGTTGAAGTCCATACAGACCCGATAGTCGTCCTGGGGACAAAGGGAACGAAACAGGCTGAGTGTGTACGAGACAGGAGTGTGGGAGGTGATAGATTTACAAGAGAATGCTTCAGTATTCTGACTCATAACCATAATGGACTTTAATTATCCTCTCAGCTGAAGTTAATTCAGGACCATTCAGAGAATCCCAGAGCCTTATAGTTGGATAGGGATTACATCATCTTCCCGGCCATTATTTCACAGACCCCTGTATACAGCTGGGTATCCACTAAGGGAGGAGGAAGATGACATACATGTATCCCTGGTGAACACGGACGCAAAAATACTCAACTTCATAAACTCCACTCGACACTACAGTAAAAGAATCATTCACCACGATCAAGCGGGATTCACTCTGGGGATGCAAAGATGATTCAGTATCCACAAATCAATCAACGTGATACATCACATTAACAAAATGAAGGGTAAAAACTCTATGATCCTCTCAACAGATGCAGAAAAAGCATTCGACAAAACTCAACACCCACTTGTGAAAAAAACTCTCAACAAAGTGGGTTCAGAGAGAACATACCTCAACATAATAGAGGCCATATATGAAAAACCCACAGCTAACAACACACTAAATGGTAAAAAACTGACAGCTTTTCCTCTATAGGAACAAGATAAGGAAGTCCACTCTTACCACTTTGTCAACATAGTACCAGAAGTCCTACCCAGAGCAGTCAGACAACAAAAACAAATGAGACATCGATATTGGTAAGAAAAAAGTTAAACTGCCACTTGGCAGATGACATGACTACATATAGAAAACTCTAAACACTCCACCAAAAAACTATTAGAATAAATGAAATCAGTAAAGTTGCAGGATGCAAAATTTATATACAGAAATCTGATGTGTTTCTATACACTAATAATGGAGTAGTAGAAAGAGAAACTAAGAAAACAATCCCATTTACAACTGCACCAAAATTAACAAAATACCTAAGAATAAACATAACCAAGGAGGTGAAAGACCTGTACTATGAAAACTATAAAATACTGATAAAAGAAATTGAAGATGACAAAGAAATGGAAAGACATCCCATGCTCATGGACTGAAAGAACAAAATTGTAAAAATGTTCATAGTACCCAAAACAATCTACAGAGTCAATGCAATCCCTATCAAAAGTCTACAGCACTTTTCATAGAACTAGAACAAATAATACTAAAATTTGCTTGAACCGCAAAAAATCCCAAACGCCCAAAGCAATCTTGAGAAAGAACGAAGCTGGAGGTATCACAATCCTAGATTTCAAGGTACCCTACAAAGTTGTAGTAATCAAGACAGCATGATACTGGCACAAAAAGACACACAGACCAATGGAACAGAATAGAGAGCCCAGAAATAAACCCACGCTTATATGGTCAATTAATCTACTACAAAGCAGGAAAGAATATACAATGGGGAAAAGACAGTCTCTTTAATAAACGATGTTGGTGAAACTGGACAGCTACATGCAAAAGAATGAAACTGGACCACTATCTTATACCACACACAAAAATAAAGGCAAAATTGATGAAAGACCTAAATGTGAGACCTGAAACCATAAAACTCCTACAAGAAAACATAGACAGTAATCTCTTGAACAGCAGCCACAGCAAAACATATGTATGGTTATGTCTCCCCAGGCAAGGCATTCAAAATCAAAAATAAACTATGGGCCTACACCAAAATAAAAAGCCTCTGCACAGCGAAGGAAATCATCAACAAAATAAAAGGCAATCTACTGAATGGAAGGAGATATTTACAAATGACCTATCTGATAAAGGGTAAATATCCAAAATACATAAAGAACTTATGCAACTCAACACCCAAAAAAGCAAACAATCCTATTAAAAAATGGGCAGAGGACCTAAAGAGACATTTTTCACAAAGAAGACACTGAGATGCTAACAGACATGTGAAAATACGTTCAACATCACTCATCAGGGAAACACAAATCTAAACCACAATGAGGTATTACCTCACACCTGTCAGGGTGGCTAGAATCAAAAATACAAGAAATAGTAAGTGTTGGCGAGGATGTGGAGAAAAAGGAACCGTTGTGCACTGTTGGTGGGAATGTAAATTGGTGCAACCTCTCTGGAAAACAGTATGGAGATTCCTCAAAAAATTAAAAATAGAAATATCATATGGTCCAGTAAATCCAGTCCTATTTACCCAAAGAAAATGAAAACACTAATTCAAAAATATACATGCACCCCTGTGTTTACTGCAGCATTATTTACAATAGCCACGATATGGAAGCCACCCACATGTCCAATAGATGAGAGGATAAAGAAGATGTGGTATATATATACAATTACTCAGCCATTAAAGAATGAGATCTTGCCATTCCTGACAAGATGGATGGAACTAGAGGGTATTATGCTAAGTGAAATAAATCAGACAGAGAAAGACAAATAACGTATGATTTCATTCATATGTGGAACCTAAAAAACAAACAAAAAACCCACACATACCCAGTATACGACAAATAAATACATTTTAATAGGAAAATGTAAACCACCATTCAAAACCAAGAAGTTTTCTTTTTATTATTTATTATCAGTGCAGCAATCATACCAGCTGACCCTAAAATTATGAATAACTAAAATCTGACTAGTTCTTAAAACCCAGTAAACAGTATTATCAAGAATGCTTCCATCATACTGAATACTGACCAGGTATTCGGTGATACTAAGGAAGCATTAACTTTATTGAATACAACAGTGGCATGCTGGCAATATTAAAAATAAAAGGCTGTATCAGTCACAGTTGTGTACAGAAGTATCTGCAGATGAAGAATAGGATGTTGAGGATTTGTTTCAAAACCCTCAGGCCAAAGTGGAGAAGGTGTGGGGGGAAGAGGACAAGGTAGAGGAAAGAAGAAACAGACTTCCCAAATGTTTGCAGCGGGATGACATGAACATCAGGATTTATTCTAATACCTCTTTACTTCTGTGTATATTTGAAGATTTCCATAATAAAAATCTCTGCAGAGGTTAAGTGTGAAAGTAAAATGAACGCAGTCAGACTAGCTTCACTCCCACTGCAGAACGGTCAAGCCCGGAGGAATTTGTAGGTCCCCAGTGCGCATTTCATTCATACACAAATAACATCAACAGGATTGCATTTTTAGAAAAATTACTCTGGGCAATTTTTAAAATTGGCCACACCATACAGCTCTGAGGAGGTCAAGTTCTGCTCTCTCAGCACAGTGTTTGCTCAAGAGCACCAGGGAGGTGCGGGACCTCTCCACAGTGACGGTCATGGTGACTGCGTGAGTGGACGCCCTTTCCAGAACTCACATAACTGCATACCGGAAAGAGGAGAGTGCATGGAGAGTAAATTATGAATGAATGCAAACACAGGGTGCCTTTCAGAAAGACAAAATGCCCGGGAGCACCCAGCATTTAGCTCACTCTTTTCAGAGATTAGCTCAGGGTGAGAACGAATTACAGACATAAGTTTGATAAACCATGTTTGGGGGCAGCGAGCCTGAAGAGTTGGACCGCATGGTGTGCCCAAGAATGAGGTGCTCGACATGCATGCACGACTCAGGGGCCGCGACACGCCCTTCCCATAGACACCCTGGGGGACTTCCAGTACTCACAGCACCGAAGTACGGAGCCTGGTGCACCACTCCCGTGCCCTCGTCCTCCTGCACGTAGCCATCGGCGAGCACTGTGAAAGCACCGTCCTCCTTGAGCTGGAACAGCAAGGCCAGCAGGCACAGTAAGTGAAAGACCGCCTCACCTCCTGTCAGTCTCCTAACAGTGTCCCATAAGAACCGGAAAACACTGGGTTTTAAATAAAGCTAGTCCCTTTTCAAAAAAAATTTATGTATTTAAGTAATCTCTGCACCCAACGTGGGGCTCGAATTCCCAACTCCAAGATTAAGAGTCACACCCTCTAACCGACTGAGCCACTCAGGCGCCCCTAGTGAGAATTTTAAGACAAAACACATCCAAAGTAAAATATATTAAGATACACGAGAGAAGAATGTAGCAATGACATTTTTCAGGAGAAACCAGAGGCATTTCAAAAAAGCTTTTTCAGATGATATATGAGTTCAGCCTTGAAGAGCAGATTGTACCTGAGCACATCTGACATTAAAGAAAGATGAGGGATATTGTAAACAGGAGGAAAGCCTAATGAAAACAAAGGCAGGGAGGGAAGAAAAGCAAAGGAGACTTTTTTTTTTTTTTAAAGATTTTATTTATTTATTTGAGAGAGAGAGAATGAGAGACAGAGAGCACGAAAGGGAAGAGGGTCAGAGGGAGAAGCAAACCCCCAGCTGAGCAGGGAGCCCGATGTGGGACCTCGATCCCGGGACTCCAGGATCATGGCCTGAGCCGAAGGCAGTTGCTTAACCAACTGAGCCACCCAGGTGCCCCAAGGAGACGTTTAAAGCAATATTAGAGGACGGTCAGGAAGCAGGTCGGCCAAGTGGAGAACACTCAAGTGCAGTGTCCTGGCAAGTGGCTACAGGCTCACAGGGAGCAGAGGGAAATCCATCAGCAGCAACAGGAAGGAGGAAGAAGGCCTTTACCTGAAGGGCAGCCATGGCCTGAAGCCCCCCTTGGCCAGGTGCAGACTCTCCCCTTAAGGGCATCCCAACCCACGTGTGGCCACAGCTGCCAATGGCCATGGGGGAGCTGTCCTGTGCCCCTAGGCTGCTGCTGCCACCTGCAGGCCTGCTGGGGAGCTGCCAGAGCTGCTGAGCCAAAGCCACCAGGATGCAGGACATTGCCTTCCTGCTGGTCATCTGTTCCCGCCTGGCCCACCAATATGTGGATTTTTTGGGGTTTTTTTTAGTGAAGAAGTTTTCTTTATTCCTTGTTTTCTAAGAGACCTAAACACAGGGAAGCTGAGTTTTATTAAAGGCTTTTCTCCTTTAGCCTATTAAAACAGTGAACTGCATTATAGATCACCGAGTACGATTCTTAAAAATTCCTACTTCTCCCATATCATGCTGCAGTTTTAGTATATGCCATGTTCAACTCGGCAACTGTTCTTTGAAGTGCTACATATCTCCTTAATAATTATAATTATATATTTATAAGTTAATTAGTATTTGTGCACAAACGCTAACTTTTAGGTTTATGTATCGTGGTTCTGCTAATCTCATAATATGGAAAGTTGGCTTTCTCTATTCCAGGACAGTATAAACAACAGAAATGTTCTTTTAAAAAGATGCGTTAGGACTTTGTGTCTTTTGGTGGAGAAAAACTTTTTATATATACTTAATGGTTGAGAAAACAAAGTGTTCAGAACTGTTTAAAACACCAAGGAGCTTTTTTCAATTCGTATACGTATACTACTAAAAATACTACTACGTATTTTCCCTTCCGAATGATTTTCTTAATATTTTTTTTCTCTAGCTTATTTTTAAGAATATAGCATAAACACACATAAAATGCAAACTCTGTGTTAGCCGACTGTGTTATTGGTTAAGGCTTCTTCTGCTCAACAGTAGGCTATTAGTAGCTATGTATGGGGGAGTCAAGAGTCACTGTGCCGGGGCTGGTGCCACTGACCCCATTTTTGTTCGAGGGTCAACTGTAACTGGAAGATGAGAAACATGGGAAAACACTCAAGGTGCACAAAAATGAAGAGACAGATATGAGCGATATTGTGGACAGAGCCCAAATGGCAGAGGTCCACCTGCATTAACCAAACTCTATCCCTGAATAGACAGGGATCAATGGGAAATTCCTGCTGACCCTATTCTTTTGGTGATGGTGATGGGGCTTGCAACTATGGATTCTCTGTTGTCAGAAAATGAAAACTGCACAAAACAGCTCTGTGACACTTAAGAAAACTAAGTTACCACATGTATGAGCTTTGCCTTGGTGCCTCATCAGTTTCCTTGAAACGAACTCTGTTTATTGTTACACACAGGTTTTATTCTGAGCACTATCTTAAACTTGTTAAAAAAACAAAACAAAAAAAAAACCAATAAATTTCCTGGATATGTAGACTATAAACAATAAAAATAAACTTATGTGCTTCCTTTTATAATTTGAGAAAAGTATTAAAAACATTCCCATAGGATTTTAATTATTAAAACAAGAAAGCAGGGGCGCCTGGGTGGCTCAGGTCATGGTCCCAGGGTCCTGGGATCGAGCCCCACATCGGGCTCCCTGCTCCACGGGAAGCCTTCTTCTCCCTCTCCCGCTCCCCCTGCTTGTGTTCCCTCTCTCACTGTGTGTCTGTCTCTGTCAAATAAATAAAATCTTTTAAAAAAATAAAAGTACTGGGGCGCCTGGGTGGCTCAGTCATTAAGCGTCTGCCTTCGGCTCAGTCATAATCTCAGGGTCCTGGGATCGAGCCCCGCATCGGGC